GCCCCCCCGCGCCCCCCCCCCCCCCCCCCCCCCTTCCCGATCCCCCCCCCCCCCCCCCGCTCCCCTCGCGCGCGACTCCGCCGTCCTCTCGCGAGACGTGGCGGCGTTCTCTCGCGAGACGTGGCGCCGCATAGATATTTCCCAGCATGCACCGCTCCCCCTTTCTCTTCCGTAGTCCAAGATGGTGAGCGGCGGTCGGTGCGGGGCGGGGGTCGGGGCCATCCATCGCCATCCGCCCCCATCGCTGGGCCGCGGCCCGGTGGGGAGCGCCCACCGGCTTCTCGCTGGCCCCGGGGGGGCGGTGGAGGGGTGTTTCGTGCCCGGTTTGCGGGGATCGCCGACCGTCCCGGGAAGGCCGGGTGTGGGCCTGTCGGGGAGCGGGGCTGCGCGGCCGGGCCGCAGCGCTTTTCCCGGTGTAGGGCGGGCGGATCCCGGGCCGGGCTCGGTAGCCGGTAATCCGCCGTGGGGGGCAGGGAGAAAAAGCACAGAATATAATAAAACAGCACCTTGCTCCAATTCTAAAACAAGATCTCCCAAGCTGCTCCTTCAGCCCAAGCCTTGTATAAAGTAGAAATGCCCATGTTACGTGAGGATTCTGACAGAAGCCTGTAGCTGACAAGCCAGGCTACCCAGCTTTCCCCCCATAGGAATGATTCACCAAACAGCCACCCCAATTATCAGGTTACTCTTCCAGCAGCAGCCCTCGTGAGTGTTATAAAGGCTACCCTAGATGCAATAATGAACCCAAAGGATGTGCTGCCCACCGAGTGGCACAGCAGGGTGCTACTCACAATGTTTGCAGCTCTGACATGCATCTCATAGTTATCTTGTTCACCCTGGGTTGCTCGAGAGACTTGAGTTTCATCCTCAATCTAAAGAAAGAAGTACACATATCCGCCTTTACATACTAAAATCATGAAACATGATTACTACAGCATAAGGCATCTCATTTCAATTAAATCTACAGCTAGAGTCTCCAGGGCCACCTCTGCACTTCAGAGGCGCTTGTGGATGTCTTTGCTGCCCTCCCCACTTGCTTCTGTGGTTCTCTCCCATTCAGTAGCACCGCCTGGCTGCCCGCAGCGGGGAGGCAGGGAGACCAGCAGCAGCCGAGGAGAACTAACAGCCGCCCACCCTGAGGAAGAAAGGAAGGAAGGAACCCCCTTCCCTCACAACCACCCGCGGGGAACGGGGAGAAAGTTCCCCCCGCCTCCCTTCCCTCAGGGGCCCGACCTTCCCTCAGGGTCGCTCCTTCTCCCCTCAAGGGCCTCGTTCTCCCCCTCGCCCCCTCGTCCCTCAGGGGCCTTGCTCCCCCCTCACAGGCCTTATTTCCCCCTCACAGGCCTTATTTCCCTCTCACAGCCGCCCCCTCTCCCCTCAGAAACCCCTGTCTCTCCTCAGAGCTGCCCCCGGGGAAAACCCGCTCCTCTCCCCTCACGACACCGGCCGCTCCGGCGGGCGCGGCGCCCTCCCCTCGATACTCATCTTCAGCCCAGGCCCACCTTGGCCGTCTTGATGATTTCGGTGAAGTTGTCCATGATGGACTTGACGTCATCTTTGAGGCGCTTGTTGTAGGACTGCAACAGGGTCTCTTTGCTCTGCGGCAGCACCCGCTGCTGCGCCATGGCGCCCCGCGACCCCTCCCCTCACCCCGCTCCTTCTCGATCCCCCGCCCCCCCCCCCCCTCCCCTCGCGC